TTTTTTGAGAGATGTTCACTGTAGGGTGCGTGCGCTCGCCAGACAGACAGAGAGAGACATAGAGACAGAAAGCGAGAAATCACCCCCCAGGGGGGATGGTCACGCCACAATCCCTTCTCCTCCATTCTCCTCTCAGGATCTTGGGCACGCACGCACGCACACGCGCCCGGCGTGAGGTTTTTTAAGCCACCGGGTCCAGGACACGAACCGCGGTCGACTACGTGGGAGTCCAGCGACATAGCCATTACGCTAACTGCTGGTTCCCCCAGCCCTTCATATTTTAATACCTATCTAAGTTTGAGAGGGGACAGTTACTTAAATCCAGAAAGCATTCTCTTCTCCCTCAGTCCACTAGATGGCACTAAAGTTCAGGTCTCAAGCTGATAACACTAGAGATTTAAAATGTGTTTTGTGAGTTTTCTACATGTATCTGCCTTTGCTCATATTCCATTACTGGGAAATCCTTTCCTAATGTGACACTCAAGCCCACCAACCCACTCGTTTTTGTTTTTTTTGGGTTTTTTTTTGAGAAGTTTTTGCTATAGGGAGCGTGTGCTCACCAGAAAGAGAGAGACAGAGAGACAGAAAGTGAGAAATCACCCCCCAGGGGAGATGGCCATGCTGCAATCCCTTCTCCTCCATTCTCCTCTCAGGATCTTGGGCACGCACACACGTCCCCAGCGTGAGTTTAAGCCACCAGGTCCGGGACTCAAACCATGGTCAACTACATGGGAGTTCAGTGACATAGCCATTACGCCAACTGCTGGCCCCTATCCCTACTTTTTAAAAAATTTAAAAACATGCCAGTGTGTGCTAACCAGAGAGAAAGGAACATGAGAAAGCATCCCCTGTGGGAAATGGTGCATTTCTCTCTCCTTTTGGAATTTTGGGCATGCACATACATGTACCCTGTGTGTTTCTCAAACCATTAGATCTAGGACTTGAACCATGAGGTTGCCCACATATGATCCCAGTCACCTTAATCACACCAATGGCTGGCCCTCCATCATCTCGCATATGTTGAGGAAGATAGCGATGAGGTCTGAGCTGATGCTTGGCATCAGACAGGTGCTGTGTACAATGTATCAGTCAGTCAGGATGGGGTTTCACTGGAGTAACAAAAATCCCCAAAACCTGACTAGCTTAATACAACAAAGATGTATTTCCCATTTATCAGGGATCAACTGAAGACTCTCCTCTGTGATCTCCTCACTCTAGGACCTATGGTAATGGAACAGATCCATGTGTAGCATTGCCAGACACTGCAGCAGAGGGAAAAAAAAAAAAAAAAGAAAAGGCGGGGGTGGTGGGGAGGAGGAGGGCTTGTAGGTTTCTGAATCAGGACTTAAATCCTCTGACCCAGAATTGAAACAAGTCACTGCCACTGACAAATCATTGGCCAGAACTAATTAAATGGCCCCATCCAATTACAAGGGGGTCAGGAATTGCAGCTCTACGGAGTGCCTGGAAGGTACAGGCAGAAATTTTTGGAGGACATCAGTGACTACCATGAATGACCTTGGAGTCAATGACCATTTAGCTCACTCTCTCCCCGGCAGGTGGAATTCGCTCACTATACCGCCCCCAAGGAAACGGGCCAAGAATGCCATTTAACTACAACATCAAGTTCAAATTTAAGACTCTGAGTGATGCACAGTAGTTTCTATACCAGCTTCCAATGTGGCTTGAGGTGGAGATCTACAAACTAAAAAGACAGCCATATGCCCCCACGTAGCTACTGTACAATAAAAGAATGAGGACAGGCTAAATGCAGTAAGGGCGACAGGGGAAATGGGAGATGTAGTAGCTTGGGGATTATATCCAACTGAGCCAACGTGGTGAGGGTCCCTGACACTGAAGTTAGGGAATAAGCTTTGGTGGGCCCAAACTCCTCCTCCTAGGAGAGGATCTTTAAGCAACTGTTGTTAACATACTGAGGTTTTAGGGTCCCTGACTGACACAAATTGGAATCTTGGCCAGCTCTGGTGGCATGCACCATGAAGTCACTGTTGCTCCATAAGTTGGGACCACCTGGGAGGCCCAGGTTTGATTCCCAGCCCAAACTAAAAGGCCAGGCGTGGGGACATGCGTCATAATTCCAGAAACTTGGAGATATTGAGGAAGGAGGATTGCAAGCTTGAGGGTGGCCTGCACAACATAGTAAGACCCTGTATAAAGAGCCAAGTCAGCAGGTGGTGTGATGGTGGGGGTGTTGAACTCCCATGTGGCTGACCACGGTTCGAGTCCCAGACCTGTTGGCTTGCTTTCTCACTTTTTATTTCTGTCTCTTGCTCTTTTCCTCTTGGTTCAAATTTATTCTTTAAAAAAAAGAGCAGGGCCAGCCGGTGGCATGGTGGTGAAGGCAGCTGGATCTCATGTGGCTGACTATGCAGCTCAAGTCCTAGGCCTGGCAACCCGAAAAACACGCCAAGCAGTGCACGAGTGCCCCAAATCCTGAGATAATGGAGAAGGGATTGCGGTGTGGCCACCTCCCTTGAGGGGGGAAAGCATTTCTCACTTTATCCGTCTCTGGCAAGCATATAAGCCCTACAACAACAAAAAGACCCAGGCATGGTGGTATCCATCTGTAGTCCCAGCTGGGAGGCTGAGGCAGAAGACTGTCACATAGTAAGATTCTGTCACAATAGGAGCCAGCAGATGACATGGTGGCTAGGTGCTAGATTCCCACATGGCTGACCACGGTTCAAGTCCTGAACCTGATGGCTTGCTATCTTATTTCCCCATTCTCTCTGAAAAATTAAAAAATAACAATAAAATTAAATAATTCTTAAATAAAAAAGATTCTGTCATAGTAAATGGAATTTGGAATCTAGAGTGTGTGCTAAAAAACAGAAACAAACCCTTGTACATGACATAAACTTACATGAAGGGCTCCAAGATCGTACTGGATTGATAAGCAGATGGCCTAACAGTTACGTCGCTGGGATTCTCACGCACTTAGCTGGAGTTCGAGTCTTGAACCCAGCAGCTTAAAATTCACACCAGCATGTATGCGTGCAAGCCCAAGGTCCAAGAGGATAATGGAGAAGGGATTGCAGCATACCATCCCACCTGGGGGGGATGCTTTCTCACTTTCTGTCTCTCTGATGAGCACAAGCACCCTACAGCAAAAATCGCCTTAAAAAAAAAATCTTACTGAAGTCTGGAAGGATGGCAGTCCTTATTTAATAAACTGGCAGATCTAAAAGAGTCAGAGAACAGCATTTTAGTAGCATGGATTGGCTACTGTTGATTGCCATTGATAAAACTCAAGAACTGAGTTTAGAGAACTGGCCAGCTTGAACACATGCCTAAGAGATTTAGACTACAAAAATCAGTGGGCTCACAGGACTGAGAGCAACTGCTGCTCATTCAGTGCTAGTAATAGGTAAAATTGAGAACTGTTTGGAGCAACAAAAGGCAATGCAAATTCATCCTTGTGAGGAGGATGATCAAACATCCTGGTTTGTCCAAGACTGACCCAGTTTTAGCAGTGAAGAATTCTGCATCCTAGGAAATCTCTCTTATGGGCAAACAGGGACAGTTGATCACCCTACTTAAAAGAAAAATGAAAATAATGGCATGGCTATCCCATCAGTTGTTGAAATCTCAGAATGGACTAAGTTATCTTAGAACAAAGGCTTCATTAAGGCTGTGGTACACTGAGCAACTTCAATTAAACTAAACCACTTAGGGAAGAGACTTAAGGTATAATTCACCAATTGGAAGCTCAAAAATAAGGCTGATCCTGTGGCCTACTGGCTAAGAGAGTCAGATCTCACATGGCTGATCAGGGTTTGAATCTTGGCCCTAGAAGCTTGAAAATAACACTAGGCATGTGTACATGAAAGGCTCAAACCTCTACAGGATGGAGAAATGGACAAGGGAGTATGGTATGAGCATAGTCCATTGGGGTGAGTTTTCCCATTCTCTATCCTAGACCTGGTGGCTTGAAAATCAAGCTGGGTGCATATGCACGTGTGTCCCAAATTCTGAGAGAAGGAAGAAGAGATTGTGACATGGCTAAACCCCTGGGGGCCTATTTCTCACTTTTCCTGTCTTTCTCCAAGAAGCACACATCCTCAATGGCAAAAACCTAAAAAACAAAACTTGACGAATAAACTGCTGGTTTCTAGAATAGCGTTACTTAAGAATACTCAGGAAAAACGGGTCTAACATTGGACGCGGTGCTCCGTTCTTTCCCTTTGGCAAAAGCGTATCCAATTCATTACACGTACACATCCATAAGCAAAGTGAACATGCTTACACAGGAGACAGAGGATGGAGGAGAAAAAAAGGCTTTCTGTGTCTCAGTTAAGATCAAGCTCCTTAGGGACCAGCAGTTAGTGTAATGGCTATGTCGCTGGACTCCCATGTAGTCAACCGTGGTTCACGTCCCAGACTGGGTGGCTTAAAACTCACGCCAGGCGCGTGTGCGTGCATGCCTAAGATCCCGAGAGGAGAATGGAGAAGGGATTGCGGCATGGCCATCCCCCCTGAGGGTGATTTCTCGCTTTCTGTCTCTCTGTCTGGCGAGGGCACACCCCCAATAGCAAAAACCTCTCAAAAAAAAAAAAAGATCAAGCTCCTTAGATCTCTAAGGAGCAGAATGATCTGTGGGGTGTGTACATCACTGCGTAAGCCAATCTCAAGAACAACTAGAAGCAGTCATTTGGTAAGTAAAAAGTACTAGGGAAAAAAATGCCAACGTCTCCTCTGAGAGTCCTCTTCCCACAGAGACTCAAGGTGAGGGACTGGAAGAGGTGACTGTTTTTCTTCTTTAAGGACAGAGTCCTAGAGGACTGTAATTGTGGTCTAGGCTCAGACAACTGCTTGATACAGGGCAGAAGCGATGTCCTGTGTCCCCCACATTCAGAAGTTTGTTGAAAATATGTTTCAAACAAAGCTCTTTAAACACTTTCCTGCTCCAAAGTTTTAAGATGTAAAACCTCAGACTCTTCTCGACCATTAATTTCAAGGGCAGAAGTCAACACGACACATAGTGGAAATATATAGTCAACTTTATTGCGTTAGAAAAATGTCTTTAAGCCACATGGTGGCAATAATGTCTGTTTCCTGAGCAGGCTTTGTCATCACACTGTGTTAGAAGGCTTCAAGAATGTAAAACAAGGGTCAGCTGGCGGAGTGGTGGGTAAGGTGGTTGGATGCTACTTCAAGGTTCAAGTCTGGGACTCTGTGGCTTAAAAATCATGCCAGGTGAGGTGCGTGGATGTCCAAAATCCCAAAGGGAGAAGGGACTGCAACATACATAGCCATTCCCCCTGGAGGGGTGATTTCTCACTTTTTCTCTCCAGCGAGCGCATATACCCAATAGCAAAAACTTGAAAAGAAAACAGAATGTAAACTAACCAGAATTGGATACTAAATACTCCATCCTCCCCACCACCAAACCACACACCTCTTCATCTGTTATCCAAACACAGAGCTCTCATGGAGGCTGAACATCAAATAAACAGACCTTAAGACGTGCAAGTCCAAAGAATTCCCTGGTCCCTGGCAGATGTTTAGGAACTAGGGCTGAAACATCACCCTCTCCCAGCAGCTGAAACTGGAGCACAAGGCCCACCTAAGATGTCAGAGCCACACTGCTGAGGACAGCGAAGCTTGCAGCAGACCCCGCGGAGAAGCAGGAGATCCCTCCAGTCCGCAGCCACGGGCAATTCACACCCACTCACGCCTGTGCTTTAAACAGATCTCTTTTCAGGGCAAGGAGCTTCTAGTAAGGGAGCCCCCTCAAGGCTTAAGAACGGTTCTCTGGTAATGCTGGTGCCGAGCTTGCCTGCTAGGAAATGGAAACATCAGCGTGGACGGGTTTAGGTCAGCATTCCAAGGTCTGGTCGGCACAGAGGGAGGTCTTCCTACCGCACTCCTCTGGACGGGTGGTCTGGAAGGGCCTTGGGGTGCTCTGCGTTGGCTAGTTGCTCTCTGGTGGTCCAAGAGCTCCCAGGCAATGGGCTCTCCAGTAAGCCCCCCAGGGACTCCATCACTCTAACGAAGATGGACAGCAGGGTCAGCACCACACCTAAGAGGTAGAGGTTCAGCATATGCTTCATGGCTGGAAGAATCCTGCCCCTCTGTAGGGCTGCAGAGCTGCCTTCTGCTTCCGGAGGGCCTCTGGCTCCTGAGGGGAGAGGAAAGGATTACTCTACAGCCTCTTGGCATATGCATAATCTGCCATGGCCCTTCCTGTCTTCCCATGGAGCTAAGGGAGAGGCTCAGGCAGGCAGGGAGACAGAGACCAGTGGATGTCTACAGCAGACTCGCAAGTCCACGTCCATTTACACTGCAAACGCCATGGCTGTGTGCTACTCTTCTCTTGGGCCAGTCCCACAGCCTACTGGTTAAGGGAGCCAGATTCCACATGACCAATCGTGGTTCCAATCCCAGCCTACTGGCTTGAAAAACACACCTGGCCTGTGTGCCCCAAATTCTGGCATGATGGAGAGACGGAGGAGTGCCTCCCCACCCCCAGCCAGCCACAGTAGGCAATAACAAAAGCAATCGCCAAAATTTCTATTTCTCAGGCTAGCTGGTGGCGTGGTAGTAAAGGCGGCTGGATCCCACAAGGCAGACCGCGTGGTCAGAGACTTGGACCCGGCAGCTTGAGAAATAAACTAAGTGTACCCCCAAATCCTGAGAGAACGGACTGCAATGTGGCTGTGGCCGTTCTTGCTGGGGGAGGGGGTGCTTTCTCATTTACCCTCTTTCTAGAGAGCACATGCGCCCTATGGCAAAAGTTAAAAGATAAGAGAAGCACCTTCTACTTCTCTTGGAGACTGCTCCTGCAGGTGCAATGCACAATCCCTGTGCTCCAGCCCAGGTACCTGGTACCCATGTAGCCTGCCAGAAGAACATGCCCTAGGGAAACCAACCTGCCTAGAAGGCACTTCCACTAGTTGGAGGCCAGCAAGTGGTGTGGTGGTTAAGGCACTGAACTCTCACATAGCTGATACGGGTTTGAGTTCTGGACCTGGTAGCTTGCTTTCTCACTCTCCCAACCCGAGGTGAGTACACGTACCCTATAGCAAACTTAAAAATAGTAAATAAAAGATTAGGAAAAAAAGAAACTTTTTGGAAGCCAAACTCGGGACAGAAATGGCCTAGCGATTAAGGGACTCAGATTCCACAAGGCCCATTATGGGGTAGGGGGTGGGGGACACCAGCTGACGGCATAAAGGTTAGGTCGCTAGACTCCTACGTAGTTGACTACAGTTCTAATCCCCGACCCGCAGCTTAAAACTCACACTGATGGGCTGACAGGTGGCATGGCGGTTAGGGGCGCTGAACTCTCACAAGGCAGTCTGCAGTTTGAGTCCTGGACCAGGCAGCCTGCTTCCTCACTTTCCCTCTCTCTCACTCTGTCCCTCTCTGGTCAAATTAAAATAAATAAATAATAAAAAGTTAAATAAAATAATTACTTAGCCAGGCGCATGCCAAGATCGTGAGAGGAGAATGGAGGAGAAGGGATTGCAGCCTGGCAATCCCCTGGGTAGGGGAGGGGGTGGTGATTTCTCGCTTTCTGTCTCTCTCCGACGAGCTTACGTGGCCTGTAGCAAAAATCTCTCTCTCTCTCTCTCAAAAAAAAAAAAAAAAAAAAGCCTGGGGAGTGCGGGCAAACCCCAAATTGCAGCATGATGGAGAAACAGATTGCCGCGACCACACCCCACTGGGGGTGGGCTTTCTCCTCGTCCTCTCCCTGTCTCTCTCTGGCAGGCACACTCACCCTCTGCAACTCAGAGAAAAAAAATATCAAACTCTGAGGGTCAAATCGATCAAGTTCGCTTACTCAAAAAATATAGCCTTTAACACTACAATGTGTGAGGCCTCCTGGAAGGTCCTAGGACCACGCGGGTTCCCCCGCAGACATGAACTGCTCCCAGAGGGTAGTCACGACACGACCCGCCAAGTACTGGACAAGGAAGGAGATGCAAAGTGTACTATGGCAGGGCACAGCAGGGACGCCTAACCCAGCTGACGAGCAGCGGCTGGGCCACGTGGATCCTAGTTTGGGCCATCCCAGGAGAAAATAAGGCTGGGGCGGCAGACTGGGGCCCCCAGATGGGGGTAGAAGCGAAGACGCAGGCTGCCAGCAGCGCAGCCCTAGTCAGGGACTCGACTTTGCAGGCCCAGCTCGCAAAGAGTGGGGGCGGGGAGCCAGGGAGTCGGGACTCAGGCCTGGGAAACGCACCGGGCCACTTACCTGGAGAGAGAAGCACCAGGAGTGAGCTGCTTGCTGTCGCAGCAGGTCGCGCAGGAGTTGGGAAGAAAGTCTGCCAACCAGCAGCGGCGAGGAGCGGAGCGGAGCGGAGCGGAGCGGAGCGGAGCTGAGATCCACGAACACAGCAATCGAAACACAAAGGCCTGCAAACCGAGCGCAGAGCTGGGGGCCCCGACCCCGCCCCTTATAGCCGTCGACCCGCCCCCGGGAGCCTGCGCACGCGCACTCGGGCCCGCACGCACACGCCAAGGCGCACGTCCGCGGCCCCGCCCCCAGGTCTGGCAGGGAGAGTGGGGGCGGTCCGCTGCTCACGTGCAGGGCAGTCTCGGAAGCGCTAAGGGTGCGCTTCTGAGTCACCGCGGTCCTCATGGGGCCAAGCGTGTATGGCAACTCCGCCTCCTCGGCTCCGGGAAAGCACATTTTCCCCCAATTCAAGTCAGCGGGAAACAAGGGTCAGGTGACCTCAATCCAGGCGCTTGGATGGGCTCAAGTCGCCACAGCGGAGGATGGTTTCTTCCCCAGAGATTTCAACGAAGTGCAGATTGTCACAGGGAACCAGACCCCCACCCTACCCCACCCCTGTTTGCTCCATTTCAGGGGCTGAGAACGGATCTTGCTCACTTCTCAGAGTGCCACGAATCTACCCCGAATCCTGAGGTTTAATTTGCCGTGGATACCTCTGGAATGGCGAGGCACTCTCCCATCATGTAAAACTCTGCTTTCTCTGGTTTTGTCTTGTTTAAGAAAATGGGAACTACCCCTGGCCCTGGTGTGAGCGCCTACTCCACGCAGCAAGTCACGGGGTATTCGGTGGGCCTCTTCTAAAATGAGGGCCACGGGCACTGGACGATTTTAAGGATGCTTGCCGCTCAAACCAACGCGCTAGGAGGTCACAGCCAGCAATCTGGGGGTTAACTCCCCTACTAAGCACCACCCACCCACTGCAGCCAAGATTCGGTTGTGAGCGCACACAGCAGGGCATCTCAGGGCCCCGGGAAGACGCTGGGGACGGCAGGCGCCTAAGAAGGGATGTCCACGTGGGAGGGAGGCTGTCCTGGCGTCAGCGCCCTCCTCCTGGGGAGCAGGGCAGTGAGCCAAAGCTCTGAGCAGGACGGAGTGGCCGGGTCAAGGACCCAGGCTGGACGGGAAGCTCCCTCAGCTCCGTGAGCTCCGTGAGCTCTGCTAAAAAAGGGCAGAATGCACAGGGGACCAGCCGGATCCCTGCTGCGACCTTTCCCCTACTTGCGGGTGGTTTGTGGCCTGTGGGGAAGGAGAAAGGTGGGAATGGAGGCGGGCAGGCAGTTGGCACTTAAGCCACCACCGTTCTGGCTCAACCCGTAGCAATTTTTGGTCCGTCACCAAACCACAGTTCTTTAGGCTGTCCTCCCTTCCTACCTGCCTTTTTCTTCGTTTTTTTGAAGTTTGTTATAGGGCACATGTGCTCTGGACAGAGACAGACACCCCCCCCCCACACACACACACACACACACACACTTGGCCCTGATGCAATCCTTTCTCCTCGTCTGCTCTAGGGATTTGGGGAGCTCTCGCACTTGAACCCTGGGTGATTTTTCAAGCCTCCCCAACCTCACACAGCCATGTAGGATCCACACTTTCTTAACCCTGACACGACCTGCTGACACCCTAGTTTCTGTTTTTGTGTTTGACTCTACCTTTCTCACACACTGGCACTGTTAGGATGGGCCTAGAGCTCTGAAATCTCACTGCCAGATGTTCCACACACCCTCACTTGCTAGTTGAGGGCCTTGGCAAATCCCTTAACCTGGGTCTTCTGCTTCCTCGGCTGTTATATGGGATAACAGCTCTTGGAATCTAACGGAGCGAATCCATGCCTGGTGCCCAGAAAACATCCCACAGGTGTTAGCGTCACCTGGATCCTGGACTGAGGGACTTGTTCATTAGCAACCTGTTTTCTGGCGTTGTGTGAGGAGTCCCACAATATTTCCTTTGGGTTCTAAATATATAAATATAGCCTTGGTTGGGACTTTTTTTTTTTTAGATTTTCTTTAACTTCATTTATTTATTTACTTAGTTTAATTTGACCAAAGTGGGACAGAGAAGGACAGAGAGAAAGAGAGAAAGCCAGTAGACCCGGCACCAGAACCATGGTCGGCCATGGTCCAGCGCCCTTTACCACCATACCACCTGCCGGCGGCCCCTAAACCTGTATTTTCACACAGCTGCAAAGGAAAGGCGGGGTACCTCTCTTACCACTCTGTCCCCCCCTGGATTTACTGCCCGTGTCTAAAGGTCATGGGTCGGATGAGCATAGCCCAGTGCTTTCCCAGCTATCAACGACGAATGTTTATGGGTCATTTCTGGGTAGGCTCTAGGCCTACCCACAGAAGGATTTTACTAAATTAATTCATCTCTTTGATTCTTAGTACCCTTATGTTTTTGGTTTTTTTTTTTTTGTTTTTTTTTTGAGAGGTTTTTGTTATAGGGCATGTGTTCTCACCAGAAAGACAGAGACAGAAAGCAAGAAATCACCCCTCGGGGGGATGGCCACGCTGCAATCCCTTCTCCTCCATTCATCTCTCGGAATGTTGGGCACGCATGCACACACGCACCTGGAGTGAGTTTAAGCCACTGGGTCCAGAACTCGAACCGCAGTCAACTACGTGGGAGTCCAGCGACATAGCCACCAACTGCTGGTCCTAGTATCCTTATTTGTTAACCCGGGGAAATGACATATAAAACAAAGGGTAGTTTTATCTTTTAATTTTGCCAGAGGGCAAAGAAAGACTACGATAAGGAAAAATAAAAAGACATCCTTCTGAGGCCAGTAGGTGTGTAGTGGTTAAAGCGCTGGACTCCCACATGGCCAATTAATGTTCAAGTCCCTGACCTGGCAGCTCAAAACTCATGTTGAATTTGTAAGTGTGCATACCCAAAATCCCAAGAAGAGAATAGAGGATGAAGGGATTGTGGAGTGACCAACCTCCCTGAGGGGTTAGGGTGTGATTTCTCACTCTCTCCATCTCCCTAGTGGGCACACATGCCCTATAACAAAAATTTCTAAAAAAGAAAAAAGAAAAAAGCACCCCTTCCCCCATGGTCAAGATACAATTCCTTCCCCATCTCTCCCTCCTTTTGGGATTTTGGGCACTCACACACGTGTGCCCAGAGTGTTTTTCAAGCTACCAGGTCCAGGACTTGAACTGCATAGTCAGCCATGTGAGATCCAACCGCCTAACCACCACGCCACAGGCTGACCCTAGAGGGTTGTTTCAAAGATTAGAAATAATAAAGGGTGTGTCACATTAGATGCTTGACAAATTGTAGCTAAAAAGTGTAAAGCCAGGGTTTTATCCTAGACAAGGATGAAATGGGGGAAATGACATATAAAACAGAGGGTAGTTTTGTCTTTTAATTTTGCCAGAGGGCAAAGAAAGACGAAGATAGAGAGATAAGGGGAAATAAAAAGACATCCCTTTGAGGGATGACCTCGTTGTAATCCCTTCTCCTCCATTCTCCTCTCGGGATCTTGGGCACCCACGCACACACGCCCTGCGTGAGTTTAAGCCACCAGGTCTGGGACTTGAACTGCGGTCAACTACATGGGAGTCCAGCGACATAGCCATTACACTAACTGCTGGTCCCTATTTATTTAGAGAGATTTTTGCCTCAGTTTATGTTAAACACACAAAATGCAAAGCATAAAATAAGATCGATACCATCTCACACCCGCTAGGATGGCTACAGTAAACAAACAAAATTAAAAAAAAACAAACAAACAAGTTGTGGCCGGCATCTGGTGTGATGCCTAAGATGCCGGACTCCCATTTAGCTTGAGTTCAGACCACGGTTTGAGTCCCTGACTTGGTGGCTTGTTTTCCCACTTTTCCTCTCTCTCTCCCTCTGTTTCTCTCTGGTGAGTGCATGTGTCCTATAGCAAATTTTAAATAATAATAATAATATAATACATTCTAGAGAAGAAAATCACAAATATTTAGAATGTAGAGAAAATGGAACCGTCATACACTGCTTGTGGGAAAGTGAATGATGGGGGTGCTTTGGAAAACAGTGTGACAGTTCCTCAAATAGATAAATATAGTTTATCATATACTCCTGGGTTGTTGGAAAAGTCATGACATACTTTTCTGTGTTTCCCTATGCAAAATTGCCTCATGACTTGTCTGACAACTCTAATATGCCCATATGATCAACTCCTAAGTGTATCCAATTAAAAACACGTGTTCACAAAATAACTTGTATACCATGTTCAAAGTAGCTTTCTTTGTAACAGCCAAAACAGTGGAAACAACCCAAATGTCCATTAGCTGGTGAGAGGATAAACAAAATGTAGTACAATGAAAAAATACTTGACAATAATAAAGTACCAGGCCAGCTGCTGGCATGGTAGTTAAGGCGACTGGATCTCACATGGCCAACTATGTAGTTTGAATCCTGGATCCAGCAGCTTGAGAAACAGGCTGGGTGCATGTGTGTGACCCAAAATCTTGTGAGGAGACTGGAAGAGAAGGGATTCTGGCATGGCCATATCCTCTAAGGAAGGGGTGATTTTTCACTTTCTCTCTCTCTTTTTCTCTTCCTCTCTCTCTCAGGAGCTCACATGCCATAAAGAAAAATAATTTTAGAGAGATTTTTGCTATAGGGCGCATGCTCTTACCAGAGAGAGACAGAGAGATAGAAAGGAATCACCCCCTGGGGTATAGCCATACCACAATCCCTTCTTTGCCAGTCTCCTCTTGGGATTTGGGCACACACTTGCAAGCACCTGGCGTGAGTTTCAAGCTCTCAGGTCTGGGACTCGAACCACGGTTGACTATGTGGGAGTCCAGTAATGTAACCATTATGCCATCTGCTGGTCCCAGCCAAAAAAATTTTAGTGAAGTACTAATTCATGCTACACTATTGTATGAACCCTGAAAACATTTCACTAAGAGGACAAAACCAGACCCAAAAGGGAACATGATGTGTGATTTCCTTTGTGAAATGTCGGAATAGGCAAATCCATAGAGACGGACAGTAGGTTGCTGCTTGCCTGGGGGCAGGGCAGAGAGGAATGGAGAGTCACAGTGGGTATGGGATTTCTTTTGTCTGATGAAAAAGTCCTGAAATTAGCGGTGATAGCTGCACAAGTCTGCATGCACTTAAAACCATTGAATAGATTCACCATTTTAAAATGGAG